GAGATAAAATCAACAATGAAAATATCAATGGTAATTTTTAATTCATTAATTTGCATCTAGTGGGGACGTGCTGGTCTGATTTCATGAGTGGTTCCAATTATATGGACGATTTCTTTTTTTTTTATTGATTAGTATACAAAGTTTAATATTTATTATATTATAATTTTCAATATTATTGTTATAATTTAATTTTTAATATTTTTGTTTAAAATAAATGTGAAATTTTGTTATATTTTCTAATAAAAAATTAGAATTATTAGATTATAGTTATAAACTTTAAAAAAATAATTCAAAAAATAACTTCAAACAATTGACTAAATTAATAAAAAAAATATGTCTAATACTATTATTAATTTATTAGTTTAGTTATTTGATTAAAATTATTGTTTTGATTTATTCTTTAATAAGGTATACCAATTTTTTGTTCCTCTAGTTAAAAAATAGAATGGAATTTGATGTTCAAAGAAAAATAGAAAACATCATAGATTAAATTATTGTAATTTTTTATTAAATCATAATAAATATAAAATTTTGAAAATTTATTTAATAAATTTATTTTCATTTTCATTATTTGAACTTGTATAAAAAAAGTACATTTTAAAAAATAGGAATCATTATCTAATATTATATAGAAGTCAAGATAAAAATCTTTGGTCATCTGCGGCTCACATCAAATCTATTATTGTATTTCTTTCTCTTTTTTTTTTGTCGTCATCACCAAGCAAGTCATTTCTACGTCATTATGAGGTCATGTATTAATTTCTATAAAAATCATTCATAATTGGGTTGGAATTAGAAAAATGTATTAAAAAATATATTTGAAGCATAAATAATATTTTTGGTATAATATGAAATTTTGTATGGCGGAAAAGGCAACAAGCGTCTTATTGGAAAAAGTAGTTTATGAACAAATGAGAAAGTTTAATATTCATGTAATGTAATGTGATAGGAAGGAAGATTCTTTTCTTGTTTCCTTTGTCCTCCTTTAGGAAATTTGGAGAGCAAAGAAAGCCAGAAGCTTCCATTTTCAATTTCAGAGTTTCCAAAAAGTCGGCCTTGACATTAATCTTAGGTGATCCCGTAATTATTATGTGGGAATTTGTTTTCTATCCCCGTGGGTGTATATATATATTTAGAAGAACACCCATGTTTTATAATTTTAATATTTTTTTGAATTACTTATAGTTATATTTTAATTGAATAATTGATATGTTTTTTTTATATAATAACTAATAAATTTAAAATGTATTTTTACTGTATTATAATTTTTATATATTATTTAATCAATTAATATATGAATTTATTTAAAAATAATAATATTTGTTAAAAAATTAATAAAATTTTTAAAAATACCCATTAATGAAATTTTTAATATGCCTTGAGAACTTTTATTAATTTTAATTATAATTAAATCTAGAGACTTGACTGTTGATTTTCCTAATCTAACTTGTAAATATATATATGTATATATAGAAGGATGCAGCATAATTTCATGCATGATTCCTATCCTTGTATTATATATACACGAAATTTTAGGTAATTTCCAAAAAGAGTATAATTTTTAATAATTAATAACGTATTAAAATATTTGTTTTGAAAAAATATGGAAAAAGAAATCAACGTACGGATTTACTCTACCGGTGAAACGTTCCATACGATGCGTAATTAATTATGTTATAAAAATTTGGTCAAAATTTATTATAGCAATAAAAAAATTGTATAATAATAAAAAAAAAATTGATTATTAGATCATTTAAATAACAAAAGATTTTTGTTAAAAAATTTATCAAAGATTTAATTAATTACTTCTAAATATTCTTTTATTTATTGATTTACTTTCTTCCTTATATATGGAAGTATTAATTTAAATCAAAATTATTAAAATAGTTTATTTTGCAATCACTATTTAAAGTAAAGGGAGAAAAAAAAACATATGTCCTTTGGTATAGATAGTATTTCTTTATTTTTAATAAATTAGATGTTAAAAATTTGACTCTTATTTAATACAAAATACTAACCAAATAATATTCTCTTTATTTTCAATAAATTAAAAGTTCAAAAATTCAACTTTCATCTAATACAAAATGAAATTTGATTTTTATAATATTTTATTTATTTTTAATAAATTTGACTCTTATCTATATTAAAATATATATATATATTTTTTTTTTACTTTTAATAATTTAGAAGTTAAAAGATTCAATATTTACCCAATACAAAATGTAGGAGTTTCGGGTGAGGTGCATTAATGATGGTGACTGTCTAACTCAATCAATGCGTGCTTTGACTAACTCAAATTACTTCATCGACAAATTAATTATTATATCAACTTTTGCTTGGTTCTTGTCCGCATCCATGTTAACGGTCAAACCCATCTCATCTTCTTTCTCTTCTCTCTATCAATCATTCATATATATATATATATATATATATATGTGTGTTGTGTGTGTGTATGATACATCCAATTCCACTGCATGACCTTTACACACCCACCAAAAAAGATTAGTTCATTCGCCTGTGATTATGGGGAGAGCTGGAAGTGGTGATAAGAAGGTGATGAAGGTTGTGATAATCAACACGGAGTATGTAGAAACAGACGCTACGAGTTTTAAGTCTGTTGTACAGAGACTGACAGGGAAGGAGGCGGAGGTGGCCACGGTGCCGCCGATAGGTTCAAGAAGAAAGTTGCAGGGTGCCTTTGGAGGTCATCAAGGTACGATGAAGAGAGAAGAAGAAGAAAGTGGTTCAGGAGGTTTGGAGTTCATGAGGAATTGCTCGTTTAAGGACTTGGATAGGTTGCTTAAAGAAATCCCCACCGTTGATGAATTACTCTGGGGCTCCTGGACTGATAATTACTAGTTCAACTGCCTCTCTACATATACATACATACACACATCCATATATCTGTGTGTGTATGTGTGTGTGTATTTATGCATGTATACATGTTTTGGTTTTTTTATTTTACTCATCTCCTTATTCTTTCATTCTTTATATATGGTTTTCCTCCTATTCCTCCTCCTCCTTGTATATTGATCACCGACAGATATGTACACATTTTGATATTCATATATATATATATATTATTTTCTACAAATTTATTTCGAATAATTTTTTCTCAAATTTTCTTTTTTTTTTCTCTGTGTGGGAAGATATTATTGTGAATAATATATTTCCATCATGCGGCCACTTAAATTTT